CCGTTCGACTCACTTCCACAAGGGGTAGAATTTTCTGCCCTCGCAGCTTCCACCCTCGCGACCACCCCCGACCCGAAACACCCTCCGCCGCCTTCTCCGCCGCCTCTGCCATCCACCCACTCCTCCTCCTCCTCCTCCTCCTCCTCTTGCACCGTTTCCTCCTGCACCGCTTTTCACCCCACTGTTCTCGATCTCGCTCGCTCTCCCTTCCTTCGGGCCCTTTCTCCAATGGAAACGTCACTTATTGGTCGAACGAAAGGGAGGAAAAAGAGAGGACACCCTCGAATCCGACCAATCACGGTGAACGTCCGTGATAATGCTCGCGATATTTGCCCGTGGTACAGCCATCGGCAAAAGTGTCGTCTTGTTTTCCAAGAGATCGCGTACGATCGAGAGGATTCATTGGAAGAAATTTTGACCATTGTTTTGTTGGCCACTTTTAACGTTATTTACACGATAACAATTTTAGAAGGGAAATTGATTGATAGAACGATCATTAAATTGTAAATTGTAGTATTCACTGATTCAGTGAATAGAATCATCATGAATGGAATCAAAAGTGGAATGTTTTTAAATGAATTAAATTACACGTACCGCTTACAAGACTTTTATCATATTTTCTCTCATATATTTGATCTATATGTGATTTGTAGATATAATCTGGATATTCATGATGAATATAATAAAGTTATAACCATACAAAGTTTGTAAAGTTATAATTATAATAAACGATATAATACAATATAATAAATAAATTAAATATAAATAAAATGAATAAAATGAAAAAAATGAAATAAATTCAAAATAGCAAAAGTATTGCATATTGTACAATCATGATTGCAACTATATTCTTATATCAATGCATAAAAAATCTTTGATCTGTTGATGAAATTAAAAAAAAAAAAAAAAAAAAAAAAAAAAAAAAAAAAAAAAAAAAAAAAACTAAATAGAAAACGAAAAAATGGATCGTTAATTATTCGTTTTCGCAAATGAGCAAAAAGTATGTAATGGCGGATCTCGAACGTACAAGAAAGAGATACCCACTGGATGATAATCGAATCGAGCGTTTGGAAACAGCCCTTAAGCCTTTACGATAGGGAGACAAACAATGGAAGGTAAAAGTAAAGCGTCGTTCTTGGAATGGAGGGGCTGCACACCCCAATAATAAAATGATAAGAACCCCGATGTATCCTTTTCCCTTTCTCTACATCCCTGTTTCACCCCTCTATCTATCGTTTCCTCTGTCCGGACCCGACTCGTATATAAATGTCGATATTATTGTAACGAACCGCTTTTGATGGCAATTTCTCCTTCCGCGCTGTCTATTGCTCAGACGAGCCCACGCGATCGGACACTCGCAAATTCGTTGAATCGACCGAGGAATTTATGGTTTCCGCGTCGTGTGCGTGACAGAAAGAACCACCAAAGCGACGCGTCGAGATATCTCGATTCGATGTTTCGTCACTCATTTGCCGGTGAATCTATATCTTTTCGCTTGTTTTTTTTTGTTACGTTATAATTGAAAAATTTAAATTTAATGTTTCGTGTAAAAACTTACCAATCGATGTTGAGTTGCTTATCGAATCCCATTTGTTATTACATTTGGTATTACATTCTACTTCTTCGTAATAATAATCAGTTTCACTTCATTTGAATAAAAATATAATTTTTTCAAAATTTAATTACAAGCAAGAATTTTAACTACAACTGGATTTATTGACGTATGATATATATGTTTGTACAATTTGTCTTTGGTCTCATTAGCGGAACTTTCACCTTGCGATTAGAGTACGTGGAAATTTTGATCGAATCACATAAGATAAATATTCAAAAATTCTGTTGCTGCGTTTTCCCGAGCCTATCCCTTTTCTCTTCCTCTTCGTATCCCTCTTCCTCTTCATTCTCCGCAAAAATCAATCGGTAAATCCTTTAACTCACAAGGTCTATACAAATTTAGACTTGGACTTCTTTAAAAAAATCTAATCGAATGTATATCGAGTGTCGCGTGACCCAACAAAGCTCGTTTCGTTGTCGTTCAAATCGGAAAAGGTTAATGTTTCGAATGCTCGGTCCGAAAAAAAGAGAGAGAGGTTAGGAAACAGGCGAAAAATTTTTCGAGACGTCTGCCACGTTCCACGATGGCTTTTCACCTTTCTCACGATTGTCGGGCCTTTACGTGACAAGACTCGGCAGCACAACGAATGAATTTAAGACGAAAGCGCGACGTCAGGTACACGACAAAGAATATACACGAACAGGTCGACTCGTTCGCCCTCTGCGTCCCGTTCCACGGATCGTTGGAGTGGGTTCACAAAGATGAGACGTCGTGTTGGATAATTTTGATTGGTGCTCGACCAATCCTTGGATCGAGAGCTGACGAACGAAACGACCGAAAATATCGTTGACGACTATCGATCCGTGAAAGGAAATATCAATTTCTGATAGACCTCATGAGAAATTGCAATTCTGTACATCTTCATGTACATCTGATGTCCATATAGAAATTCTCTCTCTCTGAAAATTAAAATATTAAATAATTAATATTAATAATATTATTAATTCAGTATCCAATATGATTTAAGTTGTCATCCATATAGTCGCCTCGCCAAAAGTTCAGCATTTTAATTCCGTAATTTATCAACAGGGGGCAATTTTCAGAATTTTCTTTACGAAACAAAAAGTGTGAACGAAATTTTTATCTTATATGTGTTTATCATAAGAAAAATTTTAATGAAATACAAAAAAATTCAAAATATTTAAATGTCAAATATCTAAGTGTTTATGCATTATGGAATAAAAGTATTATTCCATAGAATATTAAACAGTTATTATAAGAAATTTCTTGGAGGTTAAATAGTTAATAAAATAATAACTCGACTTATTGAAATATAAAACAAAAAAAATTATTTTAAAAAATTAATGTTAAATCTACAATAATAATGTGCCAATGAATATCAATCTTAAATAAAATCCACTCAACGTATCGTATTTGTTTGAATAATGTAAGTAATAAAAATTATTTTAAAATATTCATTTTACGTGATTTTTGGTTACTACTAACAATATGTATTCAATTTGTAACATATCATTGATCATCAAATATGTATCACATCATCGTATATCTTTAATGTCTTCGTATCATGTATTAATGTATCAAACATGATGTAACATTTATTTTTCGTTGATACAAGAATACGTACGATAATATATATATATATATATATATATATAGAAATAGATACGCTCAATAATAGAACAAATCATTTCACTATTCATAGTAATATGCATCATATGATGAATGATAAAGTAAAAATAGCAAAATATTCTTACCTATGGTTTCTTCTTCTTCTTCTTTCTCTTGTCCATATCGCAGGTCGGCTTCCTCTTACAAGTCGGATCGAATTGACATAAAATAGATTCTTGACAAACGTATTTTTCCTTCTTCGGACATGGTGGAAATTTAGGCTTGGCTAATTTTGGCTTCTTAAAATCGTAACAGGGACACGGTCCAGCGGGCAACTTTGGCGGAGCTGGACAGGGGCAAAGTACTACCGGTTCCGTGGGTGGTTTTGGAATAGGCGGTGGCATGCAGGTTTGCTTTCTTTTTTTCGTACGTTCTTCGCACGGAGGTGAGTACTCAAACTTGGTTTCCGGGACATCTGGACAAGGTTTGGGCTTGGCAAACTTCGGAGGTGGACAATCGACAGGTCCATACTCCATCTTCGGTGCTTTAGGAATATCGGGCAATTCACATTTTCCCCTTGGAATGCATTTCTCTATACACTCTTCTTGCTCTTTAAGATCTTTTTTTTTTTCCATCTTTGCCATCGTTCTACCTTCGCACACATCTTTCTTCTTTTTTTTTTTCTCTTTCTCGCAAGGTATTACAGCACATTCATCTTTTTGCTCTTCGCAGATATCTGCCATTTTCGCGCAAGTATCTTTTTTATCTTTTTTATCCTTTTTATCTTTTTTCTCCTCGGACAGCATGGAAAACACGTGGAACTTTCTAGAAATGATTCTTCGAGAAAGAAATTTGGATGGAGTGTGATACGTGGATAGATTTCTTTTCTTCGTATTTTTATTTTTTTGGTTTTTCTTAGGATTGGAAGATTTGGGACAAGACGGAACATCGTTGGGACAGTCAGTCACCACAGATTTTTTGTATTGTTTGTTTAGACAAGGTTTGGGGCATGGAGGAGGTGGAGGTGGTACAGGACAAGGACAAGGGCAACACGGTGGCGGAGGTGGACAAGGAGGAGGTTGCGGACATTCCGCGCATGGTGGACATGGTGGACAGATCTTAGGCGGAGGAGGTGGCGGACAAGGAAGAGGTTTGGGACACGGCATCGGTATTGGACAGGGTGGACAAGGTGGCGGAGGTGGACAACATGGTGGCGGACAGGGTGGTGGACAAGGGCAAGGCTCACAAGGTGGTGGCGGTGGACATTCCTTTTGAGGTGGACATTCTATTTTAGGTATCTTTGGACACTTGGGCGGCTTTGGTGCAGGAGGCGGCGGACAAGGACGCGGACACTTGGGTAGTTTGGGCAGTTTAGGTAGCTCTGGAGGTGGCGGTGGAGGAGGAAACTTGGGACATTTCGGAAGTTTTGGTAATTTCGGAGGTAAGGGACACTTTCGATAGCATATTTTGATCTGTGGAGGTTTTTCCACGACATTCGGGCATGGCATCGGGCAAGGAGGCGGACACGGAGATGGTGGTTGGATGGGACACTTTGGGTTCACGGGTCGTTTACGACAACATGGTGGAAGGGGTGGTATACACTTCTCCGTCGGTAGACAAGGCTTTTCTCGTTGATACGGTCGTTTGCAAGGCACTTTCGATTGAGGTGGACGTTTATCGCATGGCACGCATGGTTTCTTCTCCTTTGGCCTCATAAGGACCGCGTCCTTTTGAAACAACCTCGTTTGCTCTTGTCGCAGATACCTCGACAATTCTTTCGACAGACAAACCGTTGTTCCTGGCTCCCACGGCGCGAGAACAGTGCTAAAGTTTCTCGCGAAGGCGAAGTTATCGTAAAAGTGTGTCCTCGAAAAAGACGCCAAATTCCAACCATGGAGAAAGGAGGATCCCAGACAGTACGGGCTTTTAGCTCGGAAATTACCAATCGTCGCGATGGAGAACTTGAAGGACGGCCTCAGGAACGGGATGATTGGATCGTGTTTCGCCTACGACACGAACAATAGAGATTTTCGATCGATAGAGGGGATCGTTTTGCCCGCTGCATCTGCCGCTATCTCCACGTACCCTCTGTCTCTTGGTGTGCGAGACACCTGACAAACTCTTTAATCTCTCTAAACTCTCTTTTTTTTGCACGGTTTCTTTGGTGGACATTTTACGCAAAACGGCTTCCTCTCCGGCTTCGGTTTCGAGGGATAGCCCGGTGGTTCCATGGGTGTACAGGGGCCCTCTGGTGGATGGCAAGGGCTCTTCTGATCGTGCCAATCGGGTGGACCCTCGCCACAATCAGGATCGCCCAATCGTAGCTCCCTTATTTTTCCTACACCCTGGATACATATTCATATTCACGCGTTGATTTTTTTGTTTTTTTTTTTGTTTTGTTTTTATTTTTGTTTTTTTTTTTTGTTTTGTTTTGTTTTCGATCTCTCTCAGGCCTCTCCTTTTTTTTTTTTTTTTTTTTTTTCTCTCTCCTCCAATCTCAATCGTGCAACGCCTTACCTCTGGTCCACCTCCCTCCTTCACCAACGGGGGTTAATCGACGATATAATAAATGGACAAGGATGAGAAAATAGCAATGGGGAAGCGATCGTTTTCTCGATGGAGATGGCGATGGATCACGATCGCAAAGTGAAATTCGCGACGGAGAAAGATTCTCTTTCTGTGATCTTGGTATCGAGCGAGGGTATATATGTATACGAAAAAAAAGGGGTAAGATACACGAGTATATAATTAATGAACGAAATTTTTAACTACATAATTTCCAGTGACAAACTTAAATTAGATAAATTAATAGATAATAAGTTTAAACTTAAAATTAAACGATCGACAACGTGTTCAACGACGTTCGATCATTTCTCAACCAATTTTCCTCAAGCGTTGTTCGATGATTCGAAGCGATCCGTCAAAGGCTTTTTTAGGGTATCGTTCTTAGGATTTATCGGAAGCATGTCCAATTCTTCCTCCTTCGAACGCCTTTTGTTCGGATAATCTTTCAGAGGTTGCCTGTTATCAAAGCCAATCTCGTCTTCGTAGTCCTCTCCTTGAGGAAAATAATCGTCATTACGAATTCTGTCACCTTCTTCGAATAACACGGTTTCCCGTTTCGTCATATTTCCATCGTGGCCAATTTGATCCTTCACGGCGTTGCCGATGATCCATGAAACGCCGTGATCTTTGATCGATGTAAACGTGAATACCTTCCGGTCAGAAGAGATGATCGACAAAGGGCCCCTGTTCCTTCGGTCCAAGACTTGCACGATCGATCCATCGATTCCGAGCGGAGATGTGCTCGTCCTCTGCGGGGAGAGAGGATGATCCGACATTTTTGACTGATTTCTTTTTATTTTTTATTTTTTTTTTTTTTT